GGTGCTATCAGCGGTCATCAATCAACAGCAATGGGAAAGACTGAGAGAAAGACAAAGCAAAAGTCTCTGTTGGTTTTTTGAATAATAGTTGAGCACCCGATAAAGGTAGTCACAGGTTCGGACCCGTTATAAGTTTTTACCTTTGGCCTACTTTTCTCTACAAGTATATCTTCTTATCACTGTTATTTAGCCAAACAGCAGGTTTTTTTAAAATCATAGACTCTTAAAACCATCTTCGAGAATGACTTGTTCAAGGTTTCCTTCCAGATTTGGTAGAAGCCCAGAGGCATCACCATTAATTCGCTTCGGTAAACGAGCATACGCTGCTCCACTAATTAGGTATGATTTTTATGGAATGGGCATGCTTTTCCATGAATCTAATACAATGCAACTTTGGAAGTAATGACCGTCTTTTCAAAGGTAGAAAAACTGTGAAGTATTGACGAGGATGACTGTCAGAGCCAAGAGTGGTTTACATGTTTTCAATTTTAACGTCCGATTCGAACTGCCAATGTTCATCCGCACTATTCACCACAGGGTTTATGCTTAGCGTCAAGCCCGCCGGCTGTTCAACAATCCCCGCTCTTACTGTTGACCATTTTTTGAGTTTCTACACATCATTCGTTATCACACTAACATCAGATTTGAAAAATAGCTGAGAGAAACGCTGAGCAAGAACCTCCGTGGAACTGTGTGTAATGCACGAGCTCCTGGATAGGGAAATCGTGGTTCGACTTTGCTTGGGGTCCAAGTTTTGAGAGCATCTCTGCATCGTTTGTGGTTGATTTCGTATAAATCAGATTATCTGTTGAGTTGAATGATAGAATTTAAACACATTAAGCTCAGGCAATTAGACCAAATCCTCACTGTCTGTGTTGGTGGTGTACTGCAACATGCGAAAAATTTCACTTAGCTTTACCACAGTCGGTCTGAAACGATCGCACTGAACTGCAGCAAATAGCATTGTTTTTTTTCGTATTTATTGAGAAAAACTATGATGTTTCAGCTCAATCCTGACACCTCTTCTTTGTAGGTTCGGCCGCTCTCCTGAAGTCTCACCGCTAATCAGATTTGGTAAAAAGTAGATACTCTGGTGAGGATCGTGCAATGTTTGGATTGTGGTAATCTTTGGAATAAACATAAGTTAATGAGAAGTTAACAGTGCAGAGAGGCTGATTGCAGTCCAAGATTCTACTTTGGTTTTAAAGCCAATCAGAGATTTAATTAAATTTTTTTTTGCGGTCAGAGAAGATCTTCTCGAGGTCTACGGTAACTAACGCTCGTATGATGGTCCGTGAAATTTCCTACTATTTTCAGCAGAATCCTTTCTGTTCCAATACTTTTTAAGTTTTTAGAAAGATTACTACGTCTGGGAATCTTGTTTTAGTGCTTTTTTTTCTTCTCTGTTCTCGTTGCAAGACACTAAATCGGGCTTTCCTGATTTTCCAGAGTCCTGCTGCCCACCAAACAGCTGATGCTGTCAGCAAAACCTCTCCCCTACACAACTACTTTGATTCAGCTTTTTTAAAATGTTGTTCATTTCCTTAATGTTGATCGTGCAACGATGCCCAAGTCAATTCGTCAATCAACGTCAATTTACCTTCTTGTCGAGTTTTTATTTGAAACGGCTCTTTTTGTTTTCATTAGAAATTTCCCAAACAACAACCCATTAAAACAGTTGACTTGAAAATCCTCTGAATCATGGTCATATTTCCTTTCCACCTTGTCGTAAGCTCCCAGTAGTTGTCAGGATTCGCTGTCAACCTGAGAGATTCCGAATCGAAAGAATGCAAATTTTCTTTCGATAGACGGCTGTCTGCGGTGAGGATCTGAGAACGCTCTAGTACGGCCCACTTCGGAATTTCAGAAGGATTCATGAGTCACTCAGAATATCAATGAAGAGTGCAGAAGTATTTTATTTCATCAGATGATCCGACATCACACTTAATACACTGTGCTGAACCCAATATTTCCTGAATTCTAATCGTTTTGTCACATCTGCTATCCACGCATATCTTCGAACTTTGCGACTTCTTTGTCTGTGACTTTAGCTATTGCCTTTGGATTTTTTGTCTTCATCACGAATATCGTTGAATTTTGTCGAGTCTTTTCTTCCTGAGTTCCTGAGATAGCTGCTCTTGAGCATTTACACGTGAATGAGAAGAAGTGAACTTCTCCCAGACAAATCTTGTACCAATTTCCCGATCTCGGAGGAATGACAGGCTTGGTGGGCCTGGAAGGGGCTCACCCAGCGTCTGCGAAGGCTGGGCCGCTCGCTTAATGGGCGGAGTCACTACCATTGCGCTACCTGGAGAATGCCAGAATAAGATTTAAGTTGTAGCCGAATTCACATATCATATGTATGAGGCCCTACTCGTGACAGTGCGCCTCTAAGGAAGGCGAAATCGTCGAAACGTTAGCCATCGACCAACAACAACAACAACGCCAACAACGACGATGACTTATACCTACCTCACGTCACCTCAACAGGGGGCATTTCATAAGAACACATAAATAAATATATGTATGAAGGTTGCTAAATAACGAAACGACTGAAGGAAGTATTGCAACCTTAAAACGCATATGATGACATGTCATCTAAGTAGCAGTACTACCATATTCTACTTTAAAGGAGCGCCACTATTTCAATTTATCCTTCAGTGGACTTCTTATTTGAGTGCGCTATAACCCTAGTGTAAATAAATAAATGTCTAAGTAATCTCTCCACATAACCAACAATCTTCTTTGAATTATTCCACTTTGTGCTTCAAGTCTTCGTAAGCCGTTTATATCACTGTAAAGCTTTCTTCATTGCAGGACAGTCGGTGCCTGCTGCCGATCTACTGCTTCTGATCCCCTTGTAACAACAACAACATCCCGGCATCGTTAATTTGTATTCGTGCGGTCTTTTATTTTTTCTAGAAGCTTCCATCTTCCAATGTTGTTGAAAAGCAGAGTAAAGCGTTTTGTTTAGCAGTCCTTATCGCTCCATGGAATTGGGAAAGACGCTCAAAAATTACCGATTAGAGGGCATCGACCTTAGTGAATCAGCTGATTTATATCAAACAATAAATCCTATATAAAAAAGCACCATTGAGGCAAGCTAAAAGAACTTCTTCACTAAACAGAGTAAGAAATAGCTATAAGGAGTAATTCGTAATATTCTTGTATGATGGTACACTCTTTCACAAGAAGTTGGAAGTGAGTCTGACTAGGCGGGTCTGAATGTCTGTTTGTCCCTTCATTAAGTACAAAGAACTTCGGCGATCATTTTCTGGAAACGAAGCTAAAAATTGATAATGAAAGTTGAAAAAGGGTAATCCAACGTGGTAGCTTTAGCTTTATCGGTTTCTTGGCTTTAATATTGAACTATAGCCAGATATTGATTACATTAGTTCATAAAGGCTGCCTGCCGGCGACCTTGTCATAAACGACCCGTCACCACTGAATTTTACCTCCATAATTATTTGCATAGATGGATCTACCTACTAGACACCATGATTATCTAGAATTCATGCCTTCTATTTCTGCTTAGCATCGGACTAATATACCATTCAGACTTGAACAAATCTAAAGCTTAAACGCGTAAAACACTTATTTAAAGAATCATGAGTTGCTGAACTGAAAGCGTCAACAGGTCCACCGCTCCACTATGCTTCATCAAAAGCCTCGTAATGGTTTTCATCACGGATTAATTTGAAGACATCTAAAAAGGAATTTTTCAGGCTAGTTTTTGCTGGTATACCGTGGGCTGAAAAGAAAAGAGGCTTCACCTTGGCTGAAAAGTAGATAGCCATTCGTAATCATTAACAGCTCCTGTAGGTACAAGGGAAAACTGCACAATGAACGGAAAAGAGTACTCCTACTTCAAGAAAATCGCTCTCAATGTGGCTCTATTTCCACTACTATTTTCATTGCTATGATATCTATTCGATCGTCTAAAAACATGTAGAAGAGAGATCAGTGGCGGTGAATCAACTACCACTAACCACTTTCCGACTTACACTAGTTCATAACCGTTCCCTCGATAGAATGACATTCTTAGTTACTTGGATTTTCTTTACCTTATTTCTCCGTTTTATTGAAATTAGTTGTTTAGTTGCTAGTCGCACAAGCCATATCTATTTTTATACTTCACACCTCATAAATCTAGTGTACGATCCAACGCTTTATTGTAAACACACCTTCTTACACTGTACTCGCAATGTTTCCATTCACTCTAGCTTCTTTCTCCATCGTCCTATGGATAGGGGTAAATTATTGAGCTCTTCATCTACATAAGCAATAATTTTATGGTGACCCGGATGGTGTAGTGGTGAAGTGCGCTGCTCCCCGGTAAGGACAACAGCGCGTGTTCGTTCTCCACTGCATACACCTGTGGTCCGGAGTTTTGCAAATATCTCAGCATTTCATACGAGTTATAATTCTAAACATACCCTGCAATTAAGAAAAGAAAAAGGCAGTAAATAAAAGAGTTAAGATAATAATTTTATTGTTAGTTGTCTTCACACTGCTGCGCCAATATTATTTATACAGGTGTAATTCCCAAGTTTAAGACTACAAGCAGTCGGGCCTACTTTTCATTTCGTACAACTTTCGCATCTATTCCATGAATAATTACTAACTTTATACTGGTGATTTTCTTTTCAATCAATATTATAGGCACTTGCAAAGAGATATTTTAGTACACAAATTTACTTTTAGTGAGCTGATTGACTATGGACGAACAACACCAGTTAGGTGAAAGACGGCTCTGCTAAGGAAACCGAAATAGCCCATATTGTGGTTTAATAAAATACCAGAATTCGTAAAGTAATCCAAAGCTAGAACAAGCGTCTGAAAATTTGTGGGCCTATAGAAGATATTTAAGAAATATAATACTGAAAAATATAGCCCATACCAGAATGACAAGAACCCTTTTGAAGAGCTAAACTGTACTAGTCAGAAACTTCTGTAGTCAGTTGTACAAACACAAGAAATTGTTAATGCGAAGAATGAATTTAATGGATGTACTCCTTGTTAAGCGCACGACCGATAACCAACCGTCGAACCTAAACCAAAGCTCAGAAATTCACAACGTCAATTTTATTAACGAAAATAGGTCACTTCACTGTTATCAGGTATCGATTTCCTACAGCTTTGAGTCTCGCAATAAACGCCCAGTAGGATAATCATTTATGCAGCCATTCCCACCTCAAAAAGTTGAACAGGTTAGCAAATAAAGGAAAACAAAGAGAAAATAGATTGAAATGTGAAAGAAGAAGAAGTAGAAAGGTAATGAAAAGAATAAAGAAGAAAACCTAGAATTTGAATGACATCCAAGCATACTGGTGTACCCTTCTCAGCCAGACACAAGGTAATTCCAGCACAATCCTACAGCGAAAGTTTTCACTGAGCTAAGAAACGTTGTACTAAAACCAAAGTTTGCGACATGATTGTCACAAAGTTCAGCTATCCAATTACAGAAGAACGCAATACAGTGAGATTTTCTCTATAAGATATAGAAATGATTTAAAGGATAATAGGACAAAACAGCGAGACAATGATCAGCTCGACACAGGCTAGAAACGACTACGCCTAACTACACACATGGAGCCACGTGTTCTCACTTTGTTTGAAAGATGACCGTTGTCAGCTGCTTTGGCGACCGTATATAAATAAACTCTGCAGGCGATCAACGTTGTGTACATATCAGCCATTTTACCTTGAATCATCAGCAAAGTAGAATGTAAGCGGTCAACAGAAGAGATGAGCCTAGAGTTGATTGGTACTAACTCACCTGGAATGCTCCAATTTGCGTACCGAAGACCTTACGGTGATGCGCGTACTGGAACGCAATGTTATATGCCGCTTGCATTGTACTGAAATTTACAACCAAGAATTTACAAATTTACAGTTTAAATGAAATGCACCGGCAAATTTTTACTGAATTAATCATTTAACTAAAGCGGTGAATCTGTCAATATTACTGAAGGGTTCAAGGTCGCTGATTGCCAATGTTGTGTTTAACATTTACAGACGAATGTGTCACAATCTTAGAGAGTCCGGATAGTCGATAAGAGCCTAACTGCTCTGAGATGCTTGTTCGAGCCATCGGATTAGGATAGACGGACACGAACTCAACGAGGAGAATGGTACCGTCGCCATTTAGGAAGAAGAACAACACACTAATTCCGGAGGGAAACATGGCATCTAATCCACACTCTGACAGTAGAACGAATTTTTTCCCACGTATGCTCACTACAAAGCCATGCGCGAATAGGTGTGTGAGCGTCTTTGAAGACATGTGTTATATAACAAACAAAATATCAACAAGCTAATAAATAACTTTTTAGCAAAAAGTGAGAAATTTAACAATTTTTACCCCATTGGTCCATAGGAAAGCACGAGACGTTCAATATCGAGCCCCGTCACCAGCATGTACACGCCTTTTCCAATACCTCCCATAACATTTTCTTCTAAAAATTGAAAATGCCAAAGTTTTCCAAAAAAAGAAGAAATGATAACAAAAACTACTGGAAAGTAGAAGGAAAGACGTTATACCGAAAGTGTCAAATTTCGATTTTCTCTAAGTGAGTTTCATGAAAATAGAAAACTGGAAAACTGGAACCGGAACAATTCTCAAGACCGACTTTCTGTTAACCTCGGCATTGATTGATAATTCGACGCTTTTCTTAAATAAGCAGAAACGAGGTTGTTAATATAGAATTCATTAGGATACAATACAATATATAGGTTGCAATAGCTGACGTTTCGGCGGTTTCGCCTTCTTCAGAGCCGTTTATTTGTTGTAAGTGTTTTAGTTGATGGATAGCAGCTTTTTGGTTTAATTTAGATTTACCGACTGGGTGTTCTTTTATGCGGACGCAGAGAGGTCTATCCGTTTCGCCAACGTATTCGTCCCTGCACGCTTTACAAGAGATCAGATAGACTGTACCCGAACTCATGCAATGGTCTTCTCTATCGTTAGGGCAAATTATGCACCTAGCTCCATACCTCAGGCTGATCCAGTGACCTGACACAGGCACAGTCCTCGCCCATGTATTACTTTGTGCGGCTGCTATCTACCAACTAACTTAAATACTTACAATAAATAAACGGTAGGTGTTTAAATAAAGCTGTTTTTATGCTAATGCAAATTTATTTGCTAAGTTTTATCTGCTAGGGTTATAAAAGTGTTTGGTTGGGTAGATCGCATCTCAATTTGAACATTCCAGGCTCTGAAGAACGCGAAACAGCCGAAGCGTCAGCTATTGTATCCTAATAAATCCTATAACAACAACCTCGTGTCTGCTTATTGAAGAAAGACATCGAATTAAAACCGGAACGTTCCTGAACTAAATCACAGGAATGACTGCCGTCATAGACAAAGTCTACTAGCAAGGCCGCCAACTTGACTCCGCGATTGCTTGTTTTAAACATCTGGAAACGTGATGGGATGGCTATCTCTATATAATACTACAATGAAATAGGTCTTATCAGGACTTGGCTATTTTTTCCATACAAAAAGTTATGAATAAGAAGCCAACAGGTGCGATGCTCCTTCTGCCACATGGGGTAAAAAGATTCTAAAGTTGATAATAAAAAACTCACATAATAGTTTGAAACTCTATATTTTTATGAAAACCTCAAGAACTCAGCTGCAAAGAGACCTTAGAATTTTAGGCGATATCAACACAATGGCACTTGCGGAGAACCAGCGAATTCAAAAAGGCCAATATTTGCTTTGTGGTATCAAAACGCGAATGGCGATCGGTTCTGACAGTCTACTAGAAGAATCTTGCATCGTACCAGAATATACTTATTCTAAAAAATCCATCAGCGCATATCCACCAATCACTGGCTTGGAAATTAGTAAGAGGAACTTCTCGTACGTAATACTATCATATCCTGCAGGAGGCGGAATTCACTCTATGATGGTGTTGTTTCATCTCTCCGCACAATATTATGTCACCGTAGTTTTCGCACTAAGAGTCAGTTCAAGCATACAAAGGAAAAAAGTCGATCTATCTAGGAAACTAAAAGCAATTCTCACACTGACAGTCTAGTCATAGTGACGCTACACCCATTATGACCGGTGGAGGTTATAGCATTACGGAAGATAACAATTACTTCTGGAGGCTTTCCGAATTTAATAGTTGAGCTTGGAATATTTATCATCTTCGTGTGAGCTAATCAAAAAAAGAATACATGTTTCCGAATTTACTCCGACCATACATATCAATCATAAATTTAAGATAAGCTTAGAACGTTCGTCAAGGGCGACTAAAGAGCTCTAGAAAAATTGTGAGCAATTTGCGACTGGAAACGTTGCTGCGGTAGACAATGAACAACTGGTTATTAATATCAACCCAAAAAAGGTAAGAAAAGGAGGACCTTCGCGACAGACAAGTACTCAAAAAGCAGTGCGAAAAATGAATGCCTTAGACAGGATCGATGACGAGAAGTTAACATAAATCACTGATCGAAAAACCCTAGTTGAGCTCTACCAGGCTTACTACCAACTGGAACTAGCATGAAGAAATATGTAAAAAGAAATAGTCCTAGGGATCAATTGGAAAAGAAACAGGTATGAAGAAAAAGAGATCATTCTAGATGATTCAATGGTTGGGAAAACCACCAAGATCACCAACTAGTACTGATAATTAATGAAAGAGAAGATTAGCAGAGAAAAAACAATGAAAGGCGTAAGCCGTCTCAAGAGTTCAAGCAGACCACTGACAAAGTTGCTGTTCCCAGTGCTCATTGTATTGACACAATAATTTAACACAATGACAACTTTTTATATACTCCCTATTACTATTTTCTACGGTAGGGTTTGATGTGAAACACAACCACTATGGTGCTCAGATATTTGCAAAACTTGGACTCCAGGCCAGATCGAACAGTGATTACTGTCCCTGGAGGCACACGTGTTACGGCACTACATCACTGAGGCCCCCTCGCTTTTCTCTCTCAGAGAAAACAGAAAGATGAAGCAAGAGCCTCAATGGTGCCATGTTTAACATGTGAGCCTTCAAAGACGGTAATCACGGTTCGATCTCGCCTAGAGTCCAAGTTTTGCGAATAAAAAAAAAAACGCGCTATCTCCACTAAGAACAAGTAATGCCGTGTTTGTGTAATATTGGATCAGTTTTAGCGTAGGCTACTAAAACATCTGCATCCGGACCGTTGGTGATCCAGAATTTCGTGCCATTCAATACATACCTTTAAAAAAACGTCTTTTAAAAACTTTATTTAAAGTGGCACCTATCGCCGCGCTTCTCGGCTTTCAGCTTCATGCTGACCACATCCGAGCCGGCATTAACCAATGGTTTCTGACATGGCCAGCGCTCCCATATGCTCACCGCTGATCAACTAAAACCAACGATTAAACATTTTAAACAAAAGTTGGGCAAATTAGTCACACCTACACTTTCTTTGATTCAAGAGGGTTGTTACAAACTATGATGCAAAATATTTTTGAAGCCCAGAGTACTAAGCTATTATAGGCTTCCAAAAACGTTATACAAACTAGTAAAAAAATTAAAACGCAAGTCTGCATGATAAGGATTTCCCCGACCACTAACGATTCGCAGCATTTGCTTTTTAAAAAGAAGAAACGGCGATTTCACATGAAGGAAGTGGCAAAGGTCTATAGAACCGAGCATGTGAAGACCGAATTAACCACGTGTCTAGCGACTGTACTTTTCTTCAATTGCACATAAAAGCTAAATTGCCAAATTAAATATGTACCACTGTCTACCTTGAGCAAGTATTTTTTTTTCTGTTTCTGGGTACCATTCCGTACGATCTGATTAACGCAGAGATTCGAATGCTCACCGTAGGAAATTCCGATGGAGCCACTAGCCCGCGATAATTTCTCCATCACAAGCACGTGGAAGTAGTTCATTTGCGACCCGCTGAATCACACTATAAATAAGCATGGAAAGAAAGACAGAAGGTCCCCAAAACTTCTCGAAATCGAAAAACTGTAGAGGCCACTGACTACGGCCATCTATCTTACCAGGAGCTATAATACCCAATAATCCATAATCTCCAAGCTCCAGAACGGCCTGAGGCTTCCGAAGCTGTTATGGAGATTGATCACATTCTCGCATACCGATGATGTGTGTATACATCATCAGTGCTAAATCAGATCACCGCGTTTTTGGTGCAAAAATTCCATCAAGCCTTTATTCGGAAGTAAACGCTTATCACCGCTCAATAAGAAAAGGAGAAGTCGCGTGTGAGTCAAGGAAAGCTGTTCCTCGCATTAACCACAGATCAAAGAAGACCCTTCTGCACACTGTATCTTGCTCGTTCACGGACATAAAACTTGTGTCAAATATTTCATACGCGAGATGTTCGGACATAACGTGTTCGGCCATGTGCATAACCATCACCACCTCTAAGGAACTGTTTGAGACGAGAAAACTGAAACTTGATCCTACTGCAACATACTTAACACAGTTGTTTATATTTCGAAACCGACTTTCCTTGAACTTCGGTATCATTAATCAATATGTATTCTTTTTTTGATGAGCTCACACGAAGTTGATAATGATGTTTATTATTATATTATATATTAATACGATTATTTAATATTATATTTAATATTTAATATATTATAGTATATTATTATAATAATATAATATATAATATAATATTATAATATATAATATATAATATATAATATATAATACATAATATATAATATAATATATAATATAATAGTTCCCAAGATCGACTTTCTCTTAACCTCGGCATTGGAATATGAATGCGTCGTTTTCTTGTTCAGCAATCGCGAGGTTTTTAAACAGCATACATTTACTTCCATAAAAACACAATACAATACAACGCTAGCTGACGTTTCGGCAGTATCGCCTTCTTCAGAGCCTGGAAGGGTGTACTGATATACAATCTACTAGGCCAAACGCTTCAATAACACTTACAAAAAGACGAAAGACTCTTTGGTAATTACGTGATCAACAACTTCTCGAAAAACCCACCGCTTTTTTGTGACTTTCAATGAGGAAGTTTAGAACAGCTGATTATAGTCGCATGTAGTTGACGACTGCACCATCGCACATCAAAAATCGATGCGAACGTACGAGATCAGGTCGCGTATGATCTCCGGGCATTCGTCCCTGCTATTCATTGTAGGGTTTTTGGCATTGATCCAAAAAGCCTCTAGGAGTTTTCGCGCTGGTGTTTTGGACTCCTGTGCAAGGTTATTGACTTTCACTTCAAAATCGTCTCCGCTATGCTTTTGTATCCTATGCATGCCTAGTGGGGTGCTTCGTCTTAGTTTTCGTTTGCCATCTAGGTGTTCTTTTATATGGATCCACAAAGGTCTGCCCATTTCGCCAATATATTCATCTCCGCAATTGTTACACGAGATCAGGTATATCGTACCTGAACTCATGCAATCACCGTCACTGCCGCAAGGGCAAATTACGCAATTTGTTGTTTCACACAGACGGTCATACAAGCGGTTACGAACCAACTGACGACGTAGAGTAGCCGGTGGCATTTCAACGATTGCTAGCGATTCCTCTACACCTGCCCTTCTCAAGCATCGTTTTATAGCTGCGCTTACTTCGTCGCTTATAAAAGGCAACATAAACGGGATTTTCTTTTGGCCAAGCGTTTCGCGTGGGCGCGTCGTTCTCCTTGTAAACTTATCTCGTGGGGTTACTATTTCGTAGCCATTGGA